CCTGCCCCAGAGGGCATAAGAGTTAAGACTGTGTTTGGACCAACTGGATTCAAGCTCTGGCCACATAGCTCACTCTCTGTGATCATTGTTGGTAAGTCATTTATTCTCTCTGAGCTTCTCTCCACTTCCAGATCTACAAGATGCAACGTGTTATGGCCCTTACCCTATGATAACAATACTTGGCGCATAGTAAGTGCTAAATAAATAGTAGTTAGACTTATTATTACTTTAAAATCAGTCCATTCTTCACCTCTTAGCTGTTCTTCAAGCTATGCTTTTACCTAAAAGGAAAATTTTTTCACTTTTGCTCTCAGTATCATTCATCCTTTAGGAAACCTTCTCTGATTTTAATACCCCTACTAATTATAAGAGATATGCCCACTTTTGCTCTCAGAGCACTATTTACATACTTCTGTTAAAATCCTTAACACCCGGCATTAGAAAGTGTTAACTGACTGCAGTCCTCCCCTCTTCCCTCTGCATGCTGTAAATTCCCTGAAGCCGGAGGGTAGGTTTTACTTATCTTTGTATCTTCCGCCAAAAAAAGTGCCTGCAATACAGCAGGCACTTCATAAGTGTTTTTGTTTGTTTGTTTGTTTGCTTTGTTTTGTTTTGTTTTTGAGATGGAGTCTTGCTCTGTCGCCCAGGCTAGAGGGCAGTGGTGCAATCTCAGCTCACTGCAGCCTCCGCCTTTTGGGCTCAAGCAATTCTCCTGCCTCAGCCTCCCAAGTAGCTGGCATTACAGGTTTGCGCCACCACACCCAACTAATTTGTGTAGTTTTAGTAGAGACAGGTTTTCACCATGTTGGCCAGACTGGTCTCGAACTCCTGACTTCAAGTGATATGCCTGCCTCGGCCTCCCAAAGTGCTAGGGTTACAGGCGTGATCCATCATGCCCAGCCTCATAATGTTGCTAAAAGAAGTAAAATAGGCTGGGAGTGGTGGCTCACGCCTATAATCCCAGCACTTTGGGAGGTCAAGGCCGGCAGATGGCTTGAGGTTGGGAGTTCGAGACCAGCCTGACCAACACGGTGAAATGCCATCTCTACTGAAAATACAAAAAATTAGCCAGATGTTGTGGCAGGCACCTGTAATCCCAGCTGCTCAGGAAGCTGAGGCAGGAGAATCACTTGAACCCAGGAGGCGAAGGTTGCAGTGAGCCAAGATCACGCCATTGCACTCCAGCCTGGGTGACAGAGCGAGACCATGTCTCAAAAAAAAAGAAAAACAAAAAAGAAAGATTAAATGAAATGAAGCTTTTACTTATTATCTTTTAATTTAATATAATAAATTTAATACTTGTTCTCACTAGACACATACACACATTTTCAGATTTATTTTCTAATATTTCTAGGATGGAACTATGATTTTCTGTCTCTGTGGTAGAGATATTTCCTCTTCTAGGAATTCCTTCTCTCATCAAGTCCAAACTCTCTGCCTCCTTGAGAGTTCTCATAAATGCCATTTTCCTCATGAGGCCCACCTGAATTCAGTTAGTTTAAAATAATCTTCAATCCTCCTAACAGTCACAGCACTTTTAGCAGTAGGCTTTTAAAGCCATTTATCACATTCGACTTTGTTTCTTTAGATTTTTGTTAGTATTGAAATATGAGCTCCTTGAAGACAAGATGTAGCCCCTAAAGCTTAAGGTACAAACCTTTGCTTAATATGAATGGCCCAAGAACTGCCTTAAATATGGGACATTCCTGTGAGGGCTGAAATATCTGCAGGACATATTGCATAAAGCTAAATGAAATACAGAAAATTACTCTTTTCTAAATTAATCACAGCCCAGTGTCCAAAGGTCATGCTTGGAGGAAATCCCTAATGTCCCTAATTTACTGATGAGATAAAACTTTTCTGTAAAGATTATGATGCCAGCCGGCCACAGTGGCTCACACTTGTAAACCCAGCACTTTGGGAGTCTCAGGTGGGAGGATCTTTTAAGACCAGGAGTTTGAGAACAGCCTGAGCAACATTGCAAGACACTGTCTCTACAAAAAATACATTAGCTGGCATGATGGTGCATATCTGTAGTTCCAGCTACTCAGGAGGCTGAGGTGGGAGGATTGCTTGAGCCGAGGGGTTGAGGCTGCAATGAGCTGTGATCACACCACTGCACTCCAGCCTGAGAGACAGAGTGAGACTCTGCCTTAAAAAAAAAAAAAAGATTATAGTGCCTTAATGATAAATATATTTACTTATACATTTATATATCAAATACATAAATATAGTGATGTTTATATTATAAACATTTATTAAGATAATTGTATATTCGTCTGAACAAAGTATGTATACAATGTTCTAGAGTTTCAAAGTTTTCTTTTCTTTTCTTTTCTTTTGAGACAGAGTTTCACTCTTGTTGCCTAGGCTGGAGTGTAGTACAGTGGCACGATCTCGGCTCACTGCCACCTCTGCCTCCCAGTTTCAAGCAATTCTGGCTCGGCCTCCCAAGTAGCTGGGATTACAGGTGAATACCACCACTCCCGTCTAATTTTTTTGTATTTTTAGTAGAGATGGGGTTTCACCATGTTGGCCAGGCGGGTCTCGAACTCTTGACCTCAGGTGATCTGCCCACCTCGGCCTCCTAAAATGCTGGGATTAAAGGCGTGAGCCACCACGCCCGGCCAGTTTTCTTCATTTCAAAAACTGATTTCTCCTTACAAAATGTGTAACAATTCTTTCCATAGTTAGCTAAACTAGCTGCTCTCTACCATGTTGTTCAGGAATCTAAAATTTCTTTTTAGCATAAATGCCATCTAATCCATTCCCCCCCTCACCCACCCCCATCTTCCTTTTCCTTCTTGGTATCACGGAAGGCATGGCCAGTCCTTCATATGTGCTGTGGGTCCCATTCTCTCCCTAAGATTTCTTAGGAATTTCAAGCTGCCACTTACACCTTTACCTCTCTGGATCATCATGTCAAATTGAAAGTTTAAATGGTGATAAGCCTATATATTAAAACAAACAAGACACACATATACACATCCACACACCCCTTTGTCAATACTCATGATTTTTCTGTACTCATTGTCCCCGATTCATTATTTTGCATTCACATCTAAATCCACTTTAATCTGTCTTACATCTCCTTTAGAATTATCCTTATCTTACTAATTTTTTTTTTTTGAGATGGAGTTTCGCTCTTGTCGCCCAGGCTGGATTGCAATGATTCTATCTCAGCTCACCACAACCTCTGCCTCCTGGGTTCAAGCGATTCTCCTGCCTCAGCCTCCTGAGTAGCTGGGATTACAGGCATGCGCCACCACACCCAGCTAGTTTTTATATTTTTAGTAGAGACAGGGTTTCACCATGTTGGCCAGGCTGGTCTTGAACTCCTGACCTCAGGTGATCCATCTGCCTCGGCCTCCCAAAGTACTGGGATTACAGGTTTGAGCCACTGCGCCCAGTCTGATCTTTCTAAATTAATTGACAAATTTTAGTCTTCTTCCTGATTTCACAGCAGAATTTAGCAGCTGGTTACTTGGCCTGCAAAAGTCCCTTCCCTTCAATTCCAGGGCACCATACTTATTTCCACTAAATCCTCAGCTGACCGTCTGCCCCTAAGCAGGCTGTTGTACCCTTCAAGGTGTAATAAAATGTATCTCTTCTCTCTCCTGCTCTGTTTCATCCATTCCTTTAGCCCCAATTACTGCTTTACACTTAATTATCATACTCCTGAGGGAAAAAAGAAAAATAGAAGACAACCACTCAAATGAGATCAAGCCAGGGCTATTTATTCAGAGTTTACATAGCAAGGGAGTCAGCCAGCATCACCTGAGTTTGGCAGGGGACCAAGACAGGCAGAGAATCTGGAAAGCTTCATTGTGAGAAACAGGGAAGGCTTTAGGTGTGATGTGACTGGAGATGGTTGGCCTGGGAAAGCTGAAGGCAGGCTATCTAGAAGCAGGATATCCTATTTAATTTGGGGAGTATATGTGGTTTCTTCAGTTAGTCCTAAGTTAGAATCAGGGGAGGAGGGATAGAAAGGACACTAGTAGTACTTGACCAAATCTTGACCATCTGGGATCAGCTGCTGCAGAGGTTGTGATTCGGCTTCCTAGGCTGATTGCTGCAGTCTGTGGGTCAAAGCATTAATATAGGATCTGGCCATTGTACACTTGTACATATTCAGTCTCCCAGTTCCCAATTTGTCACCAGTTCACGTCACACAAGCTCAACTACTGTTTACCTTGCAGCAACCTTCACACCTCCACTTTTGCTTCTCTTCTATCCATTCTTTGTATTATGGCTTCTATACTGCTTAAGGTCCTTTAGTGATTTCTCATTACTCTTACAATTGAAATAAAACTCTGAATGTCAACCACAAAGGCGCTTCTCTGTGAGTTTGTCAAATATGTCATGTTCCTTAGCACTTCAGGGCTTTTACACATGCCTGGCCCCATTTCATTTTTATGTTCAAATTTAGGCAATCTGAGTTGAGAGAGATGATTCCAGAAGAGGCATCTGCATATTTGTATTGCTAAATTAGTCACAGTTAGCACCCCACTATGACTGTGAGATGTGAAGTGAAAGTGAAATATGAAGGAGGTGGAAACTTCCAGAAATGAAGCAAGAAGCAGCCTTCATGTCTTCGGGAGGGGGCCAAAAAGAACCTACCTAGGGAAACATTGACACCAGTGGTGCACACCTGTAATCCCAGCTACTCAAGAGGCTGAGGTATGAGAATCACTTGAACTTGAGAGGCAGAGGTTGCAGTGAGCCGAGACTATACCACTGCACTCCAGCCTGGGCAACAGAGTGAGACTGTCTCAAAAAATTAATAAAATAAAATAAAAATTTAAATTCAACCTTTTAAAGACACACAGGTGCTGCATTTCTATTGAAAAGTAAGAATACATAAAGATGCTTTCAGCACTGAAAAACACTGGTAAACTTCCATAACTCATTATTTAAAAAAAAAATTAAGCATGTGTTTATTGGTGTGCTGGATAGTATTTCTTTGATGTATTTCTTTTTCCTTTGCCTCTCAGATATAGATCTCTCTAGCTAACTTTACTGAATCTATCAGAAGAAGAAGAGGAGTGAAGGAAAGAGACCCAGCCACCCAAAAGAACTTCATGATGCCAACAGTGTGATTGCTTAGAAGTTCCTACACACAAAAAAAGGATCATTTGAAAGCACCTAGGATGGTTTATTAGCTTCAGAGGATTTTATTCTTCTTGGCTTCTCTTTAGAGGGAAAGTAACATAAATTCAAAAGGATTCCAATCTGAAGCCCAAATTGTTTGCCTACATAACAAAAATATCTCATCTTTTCCTGCACATTATTATTCTCTTACTGGTTAAAAAGAAAAATAGCTTTTAGTGTCTTACAACTCTCTCATGGTAAAAGGTGCAATAATTTAAAATGTTGCTTTCATATTCCTATAATTCTCCAAAAGTATATGTTTGAGTGATTTTCTAAAAACTGCTCAACCTGAAATCAACTGCTTCGCACAAAAGGGAGAAAATAATTGGTTCTTTGATTATAGATAAAGACTAAGAAAAGCTATTAATTGCTGCCAATTTTATGATAGGCTTTAAGGTTTATGAAAGTATGATTTTTTGATTTCATGAGTAATGTTGTCCATTTGAAGTTAAAACATAAAATCCTAATTGTAGTTCATTTTATGTTCAAATTAAACCATTGTTTTTGTTTTTGTTTTTGTTTTGAGACAGAGTCTTGCTCTGTTGCCCAGGCTGGAGTGAAATGGCATGCTTTTGACTCACTGCAACCTCCACCTACCAAGTTCAAGTGATTCTCGTCCCTTAACCTCCTAATTATAGGCTGGGATTATGTGTGTGCCACCACACCCAGCTAATTCTTGTAGTTTTTGTAGAGATGAGGTTTCACCCTGTTGCCCAGGTTGGTCTTGAATTCAGGCTGGAACCATTCATTTTTTAACCTTTCTCATCATGTAATTATAAGAACCCCATGTTTGATTTCCTTTGAAATTTTGTTATGTCCTTTATTATTTTGTATAGATAATTTCTTAAAAAGTCTTACTTAAAGTTGACATCTAAAATACAGTTATGCCAATGAAGTCCTACTCAGGGTGATATCTGTATCTAAAAGATGAGTGCTCAACATCCTATTAGGCTTTGTCTTGGTGTTGTTCATCCCGAGATGCTGAGACATGGAAATAAAAAATCAGAAGGAATTTAGGGATATGATTACTCAAAAAAGAAACTATCCTGTCTAAATTTGAGTTGTGTTGATAACTAGGTGTTCCTCAGATGCTAAGATGTTCTTAATTTGTATTTATTGAAGGATTGTTAGCTTAGTGCCACAGAATTTTTCTTACTTTATGTTAATTCCAGGTAAGAAATTTACAAGTTTATATCTTTTTTTTCTTTTTCTTTCTTTTTTTTTTTTTTTTTTTTTGAGATGAGCTCTGGATCTATCACCCAGGCTAAAGTGCAGTGTCATGATCTAGGCTCAACCTCCACCTCCCTGGCTCAAGCGATCCTTCCACCTTAGCCTCCCGA